GCCCTTTCCTTCAACAAATAGGAAAATCAAATATGGTAAGAAAATTATGGCAAACACCTAACATGAGCTAGGTCCAAGCTCAAATGCAAGCTCATTATTCTGATGCATTGTTGGATCATGAGAAGGAATGGCTGCATAAGCCGGAGACATGGTCACTTATGGAAGAAAGTATACTTCAATAGAAACCTCGAGCAAATTGGATTAAGTTAGATGATTCTAACAATAAGGTCTTCTCAGTTGTGATAAAACAAAGGAAGCAGAGGAAACGGATTATTGAACTTCAAGCTTTATCACGGATTAAGATTACAGATCCAACAGTTATTAAGTATGAGATTGTGAACTTTTATAAATCTTTAATGGGGTTTAAAGTAAACCAATTGCTTGTTGTCAACATGTTTGTTATGGGTAATAGACATGTCCTTAACCATCAATAACAAGTAAAGGTACGTGCAGAAGTAACAGACGAGGAGATGTATGATCGTTTGAGGAATATTAGGATTGACAAAGCCCCAGAAATTGATGAGTATCAGGCCATTGACTGCACCACCATTACCTTGTTGCCTAAAGTAGCTAACCCTGTCACAGTCAAAGACTTTAGGCCTATTTCGTGCTGCACTATGCTGTATAAATTGATATCTGAGGTCAACGCAGCTAGGCTGCAGAAGATGATGCATTACATTATTTTAGAAGCTCACGCAGGGTTTATGCCTGGGATAAGAATAGCAGATAACATTATTTTAGCACATGAGTTTGTAAAAGCATACAACATAAAATACATTTCCCTCAGGTGTATGTTGAAAGTGGACATGATGAAATGGGTGTATATCTGGAGCAGGTGATGGAATACTTAGGCTTTCCAACTAAATTTATTAATTAGGTGATGACGTGTATCAATTTTGAGGTATTCTATAATGATTAATGGAGAGCTGGAAAAGTCATCTAATGCAGCAAAAAGGCTAAGGCGGGGAACCTCATTTCCCCCTTTCTATTTATCATAGCCATGGAGTACCTTAGTAGGATGCTAAGTGAATTAAGGCATCAGAATGAATATAAGTTCCATCAAAGGTGGGAAGAGTTGGGCATCACACATCTCAACCTTGTTGATGATCTAATGTTATTTGCAATGGGTGACAAGGAATCTGTAAAAGTACTTCACCAATGCTTCCAGCAATTCTTATCTGCCTCAGGCCTACAAGAAAACTTAGCAAAAAGTGCCATATGCTTTGGAGGGGTGTCAATATCATAACAAATGCAAATCCTACAACAAACATGTTATTTATCGGGAGAGCTACCATTCAAGTATTTGGGATACTTTGACCACAAAGAAGCGTCTGTAATCTAATGGCAATCACTAATTGAGAAAATTGTAGCTAAGATATCTTTATGGACTGCAAGGAAGTTATCTTACGCTATTAGAATGAAATTGATACAAACAATAGTGGTTGGTATTCAATCATACTGGGGCACAACTTTTTATCATGCCAACTAAGATTATGAAGACAATTGAGAATTATTGCAAGATCTATGTGTGGTCAGGAAGTAATACAATCACTAAAAGGGCAATTTTAGCATGGGACAAATTATGTCTTCCTAAAATAGTAGGAGGCTATAACCTGACTAATCTCCAAATTTGGAATAAAATAGTAATAACTAAAACATATTGAGACCTAGCTCATAAAGAGGATAAAGTGTAGATAAGGTTGATATATTCCTATTATATTAAAGGAAACAAGCTAGAAGAAATGTTATTCCACAACAAGCAAATTGGATGGTGAGAAAGATAAAGACAGCAAGGGGCATGGCTCAATAAATACACAACCTGAACCAACAGAAAAGCTTGATTAGGAAGATATACATGTAGTTGTTGGGGATCCATAATTGGGTGGTGTGGAGATCCTTAATGTTCCATAATGAGGCAAGACCCAAGGCGATGACCAAACCGGAGGGCCGCAACGGGCACTCAAGCCTTATTTGTTGAGCACCAACGTAACGTATTCTTAACCATACTATAATGCATAAATGGGCCAGAAAGACCGTCATGCGATAATTTTAATATAACATAAAGAATACTCGATAAAGAACAACCACAAAATGATATACATGAGATACAAGTGCCTATTAAGTCGAACAAAATATCTATACATATGATATTTTTCTAGAAGCTTCTAAGAATTACATAAATATCATAAGGTCGGAATAGGCCCCATAATACCCATACCATATATGTACATATGTATACTAACTCCAAAAGGAAACTCAGGAGAAAATAAAGTGCAACAACATTTTATGCTTAGCTGGTAACCTACTGGGAGGATCGTCAACCTATCTATCAGGATATGTGGCAATGAAACAGAGCATCCCCAGGCAAAAGAGATATCAGTACGAATGAAGTACCTGGTATGTAAATCAAGAAAGCATAAATAAGAATAGTAATATAAAGAGAGATGGAGAAGATACAACATGTAACATCTGAGTGCCTTTGAGGGTGACTGACATGAAATATATGATCATTATATCATACCCGGTCGTAATAGGCTCAGTAAAAATGTACCCGACCATCATAAGGCCTGTTAGAACCGTACCTAGCCACGTGAGCTCAATAACACCCAACTGATCAGTGGTTGCACAATAGGTATCGTATCTGGCCGACTACATTATATCTCGGTAGAGTAAAATAGGTGTATGTGTGTGTGTGTGTGTGTATAATACATGTTGGACTCATGGACTCATATTTTGAACCTTTTAGAGTGACGTAAGGTCGGTAACATCTGTATACGTGATCATAGCTAACTTATCATCATGAATCTTATAAGAATCATGAAATGCCAATAACATTTAACAATATTGGAATAAGAGAAGAAACATTAACATCAATCATTTCATAAGAAGAGAAACGATGTAAGTACTAGTAGCTTCTAAGAGTGGAGTATCTTTGGAAGCTCGTTCGTTTATGTTAGGTACAATCAGAGTCGTGCAAAAAGAAAGAAAGGTATATTGCACAACTTCAAGTTATGCAAACGTCACGGCTCCTTTTTTTACAATAAGAGAAATGATACAATTATTATCGTTTAAGCATCATAACTATTATATATCTACCACAACCTATTTTACAATAAAACGGGAGCATCTCCCCTATTTATATGACTTTTCACAAGTTACGACAATTATAAAAAAGCCTAGACAACATCAACAATAATCATATTAAGCCTCCCAAATAGTCCAACAATCAATAGCATTACTAACAAGCCTTTCGATATATATTCACAAGTTCTAGTTTCAACGACTTAGCTGCAGCTTGGATAAGCTTAAATACATGTAGATTTAGAGGTTACTTACCTTAAAATATATAGAACAACTCCAATTTGAGATTAATTCACCATGAAGTATCCTTCCAATGCATGCATAAGAACAAGAAAGAGAAACTAGCAAGAACAAACTCACTAGCACCACGAGATTTCCGACACTTGATTTGTGTTCTTTGTCTTTTGTTTGGTTCTTGGATCATAAGAGAACTTTAGGAGAATGTTTGTAGGTGTCTAGGGTATGTATATAGTGAAAAGGAATGAGTGAAAATGAGTTATATGTGTCACACATATATATCATGAAATCTCAATCGCCTAAGTGCGTCCCATACGGAGCTGCTTGCGCAGTCTCATAAAAATATGAATATCTCTCTACTCTGATGTCTTATCAATGAACGGTTTAATGCGTTGGAAATTACACTCTTTGAACTTCAATTTAGTGGGTGTATATCCTCGTAAGTCCAAGTACATTGAGAGAAAAACTCAGTGAAATTAGGCCTGAAGTTCAGTAAAATTTATTAATGTAACTTGTGATGATTTTCGTGGACTTTTATTTCACAAAGCACTTGACTTAAAACCTTAACACGAGACTATTATATGAATAAAATGCCTCATAATATCAACTTCTTATCATATAAATCACCCTAGCCTTACCCCAAAAGTACATGTTATAACATTCCCAACTTGCCTACTTTCGACGAAACTTATTTTCTTCGATTCATTTAGTTTCTAAATTTTCCAACCCTCACAATACTTTCTTAAAACTTTTTTTAATCTATAATTATTTTTGTGAAGTCAATTTAACTCTCTGGCTCATATTGATTCACTTAAATGAGTCTTATAGGAGAAACTAGCTCTTACAAATTTTATGAAAAATTCAATTGAGTCTCCTCTGTAAAAAAGACTATCCCATATCTTGTGTTCAAATAATCATGCTCCTAAAAATGTTTAACACTTCAATTATGAATATCATTTAATCATAGAGTGAGTGTGAATCAAAATCACATAACTTGGGCGAAGAAAACACATGATTGATCTACGGTCGTAAAATCTTCTATCTGAACCAACTGAGAGTACTTAGAATTGATTTTTTTCTTTAGCTTACCAAGTATTTATTTTGACATTCTTATTCCTCCATGAAGTCTTTATGAGTCACTTTTTGGGTCCCCAACTTACGGATCTGTCGATCTAAAATAGCAACTAGAACTCTTCATAAGATAGGTTCTCTTGTCGAATACCTCTTTTAACTTTCCCAAAAAACGAAAAGCTTTCCTATATATAAGAGATGACTCTGCCACATTCCAGGCCATTATATGTTTATTACTGAGTCTTCCAAGCGTATTACGAACATGTTAATTGGTGAAGACCTCTAGTCAACCCTTTTTCCTTTTGCGCTTGCTTATTTATCAAACCACATATGATTTACCATTAAACACATCTGTTACAATATTGATTCTGTTCATTTTAATCTAGTTCTAAGTCATCTTATATGACACATGTATACCATTATAGTTCTCCATTCCTCCTTATTTTTCATACTACCCCTTGTTGTCATCGACCTCTTATTAGGTTTATATTATGACATTTTTTATTTGCAACTCTGATCTAATTCCCACACATTTTGTATCTCTTATACATATAATTCTATACCTCATCTATTGATCTCCATCTTCTTTTTATCATATACATTTGATGTATTTCTTCGTTGGTTAGGTTTTGATTTTTAGAAACAACTGACATTGTGAAATGGCTTATCTTCATATTGCTTCTTTATATTTCGTCATTTCCTTATTTTCTACACTAAGTCTTATCCTTGATGTCGACTTTATTGTTTCCACCTTGATTGTTTCCTTTCTTTAGGCTTTTCCTTGAAATATTGTACTAACTCCCTTTTCTTGTTGTTATCTTGACTCCCACACGGTTGCAATATTTTGATATTACCATGATCTATATTTAATTTCAAGATTCATCATACTCAAGTCCATTTCTAACTCCTTATGATTGTTCTTCCTTCTCCTTCCAATCTCAGTAATTTTATTTGGAGTCATATCTTTTAACTTTAACACATTCTTCACGTTAACATTCCCATGTATAAAGTGTTTGACTACGTTTGTCGGCAATTTATAAACTAATATTGTATCTTTTCTATATGGTTTGTACCCGTGCGTTACTTTAAAGTTTCTTATACTCCTATAAGAACTCGACTGGTCGTTTTGAGCTCAAGCATGTCGTTCAATGGCTTTAGGCCTTAAGTAGTTTCATTTCATATTTTATGACTTGTACGCATAGTCAGAACAAAATTTCGGGAAATTCGGAGTTGATTCGGATAGAAAATTCTCAATTCGGAAGCTTTAAGTTGGACGAGTTGACCAAAGTTTGACTTTTGAGTAGACGACCTTAGAATCGGGATTTGAAGGTTCCAATAGGTTTGTATGATGATTTCAAACTTGGGCGTATGTTCGGGTTGAGTATCGGATGGTCCGGAAGTATTTCAGCGCTTATTGTGGAAAGTTGGCATTTTAAGGGTTTTAGAATTTCCCAAGTTTGATTTGAAGTGAAATTTGGTTTTATTGATGTCTGTTTGGGATTTTAAGCCATGGAATAAATTCATATCATGATTTGTTACTTGCACATAAAGTTTGGCATCATTCCGGATTGTTTAAGTGTAACTCGGAGGCTTTCGACGAAGTTTGAAAGTTGAAAGAAAGGTTTTGATAGTCGATATTTGGTGTGATTTGAGGACTCGAGCAAGTTTGCATCATGTTTTGGGAATGGTTGGTATGATTGGACGAGGTACAGGGGCCTTGGTTGTGTTTCGGATGGACTATGGTTAAATTTCGCCATATTTGAGCTGCGTTTCTGAGATCTAGTGCATCATACTTCACGATCGCGAAGAAAAGGCCGCGATCGCGAAGAGAAAAGTGTTGTTCTAGGCCTTATGGAT